GTGTTAGCCAGGATGGTCTTGGTCTCCCGACCTCGTGATCCACCGCCATGGCCTCCGAGAGTGCTGGGATTACAGGCCTGAGCCACCGCTCCTGGCCAGAGACAGCCTCTTATAATGAGGCCAGGAACGAAAGTTAGCACCTGTCTTGGTTTGTAGAAATCAGTTTATCTTTTTTCAGCTAGGAAGAAATAGTTCTTTGATGAAGAGCCCATGAAAGTCTGGGTAATTAATTTGTTTATTTAGAAAAGCTCTATTGAATTCTTCCTGCCACAGTTTGATGAATGATCATGAATGTCTTTGTGGCCACTCCCTGCTCACCACCAGATTGTCCGGGTTCGTTCCCAGTAGGTTTGGATTTGGAGACGGGAGTTCGGGTTCGTTCCCAGTGGGTTTGGATTTGGAGACGGGAGTATGCGTATGCTCTTGGAGGTGGGGGCCTTCGGGGAGTATTGAGGGACTGTGTTTCCACGGCCATCCTCTCAGGGAGTGGCCTCCTGGCTCTGCTCTCTCAGGCAGAGAAGCTGTGCTAAGGTGGAATGAACCCAGGATCTCTAGGATGGCCTTTGCTGCTGCCCCTAATACTGGTCCTGGCCTGCCCTTTCCCAAGAATATTTCTAAAAACTGGGTTCTTTTCCTGGGGTAAAGCCCAGCACTGCTTCATTTGGTTGTCAGCGAACACTTAAACGTTGCTTGAAGGGTCTGGTTTTTGAAATTAAGATGACAGCTACCTCCACCGGTGACTTAGGATGCCTGCCAGCCAGGGAGCCTGGCAGTGCATCGTCTCCGTGAGCTCTGGGTCGCTGTTGGGCTGAGCTGTCACCTTAGTCCTTTGTTGGGAGAACAGGCGTTTCGGGTGCTGGTCTTGAGACCTGAGGAGGCTGAGTAACCTTAGGCGTGGTGCTTGGCCCCTGAGCTTCCATGTCTTCCTCTGTAAAAGGGGGGAAGAGGGCTTTCAGGATTGGGGAGAGTGCAGCCTGTGAGCTTACTGTCCAGGGTAGGGTGTCCCATGTGCAGAGTCCCTTGGGGAGACCCGGCTGGCGGCTCCCCTACAATAACGCAGCTCACGTGCCGTGTACTCCGCTAGTTAATGCAGATGTGTGGAAGTGGAGTCATTTTACACTAAGTCGTACGCTCTGGCCTGTGAAGCGTGGCATCCTTCAGCAGCCATCACCAGCGTGTCCTTCTGGGGGCACAGGAACGGCACAGTTCAGGTTGGGGGGAGCTTCCCTGCGGTCACGTGGCCCCCGGAGAGCATGTTGGCCTCTGCACAGTCACATCTTCACGGCTTTGTCTAGCCTTCAGAATACTCTTTTCCTGTTCTAGGCCAACTTCAGGGGTGTGTGCTTCCTTCACATACGTTGGCTGGCTGTGGTGCTTCCTCCCCTTCTGCTCATAAAGTCACACTCCCTGGAGGCCATTGTAACGTGGTGTGCTGTGTGGCTTCCGAAAGCACCTGGGGAAGGTGGCCTTGTTGGCTTTGGTGCCATGCCTGTGGGCTGCTGACGAGATGCCGTTGGAGATACGTCAGCTCTCTCCCAAAACCTAAAGACACAGAGTCCTGGGAGTCGTAAGTTAATGACTCCATACATTGAGTCCCACGTGAATATACTGTTCTTTAGAGACACGAAGTTC